CAGAGCGTCTTTCCGCTTCTCCTTGTCCTGAACATCGGGTCAGCAGCAGCTCCAATGAAGCTTGTGGTTGTATCGTTGACACGTACTCCGAAAGCAGTACTCGAGGTACCTGCACCCGCTGACGGCATCCCGGCGTGGTGACTCGTCGATCTCTTTCTCCGCCGGTGTGGTGTCCTCCACAAGAGGCTTGTCTTGGGATCACGGGAGTTGGAGATGTGCATAAAGGTGTCCGGAATCACTCCTCGTTCAATGACACTCGGGTCCTTCCTCCACAACTTTGGAGGGATACGGTTCGTAATCGACGGCGTCCTCCTCTGTGCAAGTATTCCCAGGCCGTTGGGAGTCTTCGCTGTCGACCAGACCACTCTCTGACCAAGGAAATGATGCTCAATCGTTGTGAAGCTGCGATCAGGGTCGGTTAGCTCTGGTATGGACTGAGGCCCCCTTGACGGTAATTGCTTACCTGCCTCCTCCATGAATAGGTTGTCCTCGGTTGCTCCGCCGCATACCAGAAGTGCGTCAATCTCTCTTGCTTGGATCTCTGTGACGGGAGCATTCGACCACAACTCCGCAAATGTTGAGGGCAAGTTGGCATCATGTTGATCTCATCGTCTCAGCGGCGTTCGCTTCCTCTCAGCGTTGACATTACTTGCCCGTCCCTCGACGATGTATGACCAGACAGCCATGGGCTTCTCCTTGTCTCAACTTCCAAGAATGCCTTTGACGAACTCAAGACTGGATTGTTGCCGTCCAAGTATCGGAACGAGCAAAGGTCGGGGCCGGGCTGGCGAAGAAGCTGCAAAGATGTACGTGTGCTGAGATTGGAAGGACGGTCGGTTGAAAAGCTTGAGGATGAACGATGAGGGAGTTGGATTCGAGGCATTTCGAATTACCGACCTTGATGTTTGTGGGTTAGGGTTAGTTCTTATCTTATCTACAGCTGCAGCAGGTGAGGGTCTCAGCGTCACGCTAGTGGCTTAGCTTCTGCGCTAGTGCCTGGTCAATTGTGGCGCACTCCATCCTCGCTGGGTTAGGGTTAGCTGGAGCAAGGGCTGGGCCACAGAAACGCCGTCAATGACCTCGTTGACTCCAAAATTCGACCTCATCGCCGTCGTCTCATCAACTTTTCCAGCGACTTCACACCGCCAACCACCAAGCAAATGAGCATCTTCGCACAGATGACACTGTTTTACGCCGGACAGATGAGCAACATCGGCAATAGCGACACGTGGATGACTCAAAATCTGCACTCAGATGGATCTTGAGACACGCAGAGAGCCAAGGACTACCCATTTTGGGGTTTATGTTCAAGAGTTTTCTCGAGGACCAGCAAGCGAACAATGCGAGGCTGAGCATCCCTTCCCAGAACTAGAGGCTGCGGGAGCGTGTACCACATCGTGAGGAGCGGAGCATCAGCAGTCTCAAGCCTGGCATACGGCATGCAAAGAGACACAACCGATCAAGCCTGCAACGACAGCAAGAACGCAATTGCTGACACAAGAGTCAGCATTCGACATCCAGACTGCGCGCACCAGCAGAGGAGGAGGTACGTGGTCCAGAGTACCGGTGGTTGGCGATCATCTCCATCTGACGTCCACTTGCACAGTATTCACAGAGAGCCAAGGCCTAGAACAGTCATCGACGATGCGCAACACCAAACCTGACCTGACCTGCTAACGACGAGGTCTCCACGACCATGCGGCAAACCAGGCCGGCCAGTGGCTAGGGTGCCAAGAGTCAGATGTCGGTAGAAGGACGCTCAGCTGCCAGGCGTGAGCAAGAATGTCAAGTGGGCCAAGAGCGGACGAGCAACTTTGAAGAGAAAGTCAAAATCGAGGGCAGGGCGGTCGAAGTCTCGCCTACCTTCGCGATCATGTCAGAGATGTCCGATTTTGGGCAGCTATGTCTACCGCAACAGAGAGGGTATGAGCTGCAGCAGGGCGTCCTGGCCTATGCGAACAATGGCCATGAACAAGACGAAGAAGAGGCCCAACTGGACGCATCCGTACCGAAGGTACCAAGAATGACGGCGCCGAAGTCGAGCGTCATCTCCCCCCTCTGGCAGCATACTTGACTACGGTTCAATCGCCGAGATCCAACCTCCCTACTGCGGTGATGGATGGCCAGTAGTGTTGCTGGCACCGAGATCACTGCACCAAGTGGCTTCACGTCGACTGTCGAGACGTGACAAGCTCCAACTTGTGACAGCCCTCAAGTTCCAAGTCAGATTTTTTGATTGTCCCTCGGCTACGCGTTGGATGTTGGTATCGCCCATCTGTCACAAGTCTGGAACCTGTGACAGTGTACTGGTCACAGGGTGGATTCTGTGACGTGCATGGATACCGTCTGCTCGGCCTGCAGGCAGTGCCCAAAACAAGATGCAAGCACCGCGACGCCGTGCTGGACAAGCAGACTGGCGCCTACCATGGCCACCGGCGCAGCCAGTCCAGTTGGTCCACTCATTCCGGGAACGACTACAGCGGCACGGTGTCAACTTCGTCATCCGGCTACTGCACTGCCGAGACTTCATCTGGCGAGCCACCTCGCAAGCCTCAAGCCAGACAACTGTCGATTCTGCAGTTCAGAGTTCGGCTCCGGAATCCGCCTGCACTCGTGTCTTGGAAAGGAGCACTCTCTGCAGCGGATTCATGCTCGAGCCAAGATTGAACGAAGGACTGGGCGTAAAAGCGCACCTGTTCGGCCGTATTGCCAAGATGAGGACCAAGTGGAGGCTACCTTTGGCACTTCTTCACGCCGTTGTAACATCTATGGAAGCAGCGCTTTGCCATTTCACAGCATCGAGGCAGAGATATCACAGCAAGACACGTTTCAACCGAGGATCTGATGAATGTCAGAACACTTTTTGGACTCCTGCTTTTGGAATTTGGACCGCCACCGCCATCGCGAAAATGATTGCTAGCATGGTGGACTCGTCAATGGAAACGCGGTCGCCTCTTTTGGTCAGCATGTCCTACAACATTTCTCGGCCGGGAACTCGACGATTGGGAATCTGATTGTCTTCGAAAATCGCTGATACCTTTTCGACTACCGCAAACAGTCCAGACTGGCAGTCTCGCACCGTACGGCGGCCTGAAGATGTTTGTGGAATCGGGCTGATTCTCCGGTCTCCAAGAAGCCCTCACCGGAGGCCACAAGGGAAGTCCTCGCTGAGGCAAAAGACAAGCCACCACTGGAGGCTACAAGCAAGGCCGAAGTCGGGGTCCGAAGAACTCTGCGCGCATGTCGCACAGTAATGACACCACATGTAACAAGATGAAGGTTGGGTTGAGTGCACAAGAGGCTACTGAGCCAACAAGTGGAGTGGAGAGACGGCACTGCTACACCAGACGGATTATGGTGGTTCTCTCAGGCCCTTTGCCCTCATCGGACATGCCACAACCCTGGTTCCGGCAGCGTTGGAGAGACTGTCCTGCTGGGTGTTGAGTGACGCTCAGCTTTTGGGTACGTCTTTCGGGACTCAGATACGGAAGTGTTAGCTAGGTCCGCATTGCCGGGTGGCTCCAAAGCATCCTACGCGTCATGATCCCTGGGCTGTATCGCTGGCCCAGGTTGACTTGGATGATGGCGAGAAACATCTCTCAGTACAGCATTGTGTCGCCTTCAGCGAAGAACGGCACTGCTTTGTCAACTCAGAAACGAATGCTCGGCCGACTGACGACTCGATGAGCCATTGAGAATCGGTCTCGGTCCTACTGGATGCGTCAACCTCCGGGCAAGGAGAGGGCCATTCCAACATCGTGACATAGGTTTGGGTACTGTAGTTAAGAGCTGACTACGACGCAGATGTCTCGTCGTCCCCTGGCCATTCTGCTGCTACTGCAACCTCCACCTCCTCCACACGACCGTCGTGATTCTCAACGTCATCATGCCAACTTCACCGCGCTCTTGCTGCGAACCACCGGGCTGCTGTCTGACTTTGACGACCTGGCGGCGCAAGAGGAGGCGGTCCTGGCTTTCTTCCCTTTTCGTTCAGAGCGGTGTTAGAGGCCGTGGTAGGCCTGCGGTATGCGTCCGCGTGGTGTGCGCTGCTGCGGCAGAAAGGAAAAGGGAGTGTGATGAGTGAGAGGATCAGGTGAAGCGAGTTTGGAAGAGGATGGAAGGGTCAGCGGTACCTCAATAGTCGTGGTGATAGTGGACTGGTCTTGAGCTGTATTGTTATATACCTTGGTTCCCTTTCTGTCTGGGTGGTGCCTCAGGTGGAGGATGTACACGTTTAGGATCTTCAGTCATATGCAGATGGTGTTACGGTCCGTGATAAGACCCTCTCAGAGATGGTATGGCTTTAATGCTTGACGGTCTGCACCAGTTCGTCCGCAAGCCAGACAATGCCACTGTATCACTCAAGCTTAAGTAACCCTGCCACAGTCTGACCACTGCCAGCTAAAAATCCAACAATCACCCTCCAAACTGCTGCTGCGACATCACACATCAAGTCATGACAAAACGCTGTTCTATGTCGACAAAGAGAGGCGCTCGTCACTGTCAGGTACCGGTCGGTGATTCTCCGGCAGTCCGACCTCTAACTGGTGGCACCCTGCTGAGCAACGTAGGAGGACACCGGAATACACATCATCACGCCAGTTACTTGCGTTGCCAGCTCTCTTGTTCGATGACCGGTGCCTTTGCACGTTCTGATCGCATGGAAGGCGAAGATTCAAAGCCACAACGCAGCAACGACTCTGTGCTTTAGCTTGATCTACACCGCGTTTCGCAGAGAAGAGTCCAGTGTGCATTAGGCTGTTGTCGCAACGAGCACCTAGGTAGGGAGGGGCTTTGACACTTGAGCATAATCATCCTGATTGGAACGATGCAGAAATCAGCATTGAAGTCCAGGTGAAGTCTGCACGATATTCCTCCCATTTTCCTCACGTAAGAAACGACTTGCCATGAGAGAGCGTTAGTTCCGGCCAGAGATTTGCACGACTTCGGCAAAACTTCAGACAAAAATGAACGCTGCCATCCAAGGAAGACAAAAGTGATGGAGGAGCCGGGAATCGAACCCGGGACCTTCCCTAAGGTAAATCAGGATACAAGAACCTGCCAAAGGGAAATCATAACCGCTAGACTACACCCCCTCGATTGAATGCTTGGGGAAGGAGCAATTCTGACTGATACTCAACATGCCACTAGTCCGATACAGTGCACGATTGCAATTATTCACCATGGCAACTGCTCAAGATGCAAGAGCGGTGTAACTTGTATTCTACGCACAGAGCACTAGCCATTCGATTCGCTCAGACATTGGCATGTTGGGGCACAACGAGGAGTCAACCGCGGAGGAGGACAAAGCTATTGTTGCCCACGATGCAGACTTTCAAGCCGTCCTCCATTCGTCCAAGCATATCTACATCTGCAACAGCCATCGACAGTTCCGTGCGGCCGTCTTCACGTCTTCAAGTACAACAGCGAGCCGTTGTTCGCAGCTCATCCACAGCTGAACCACTGACCAGATAAACACAATAGCACCATCATCACTTTGCCTCAGTTGACCCTTGCATGCCGTTCCAAATACTTCGTAAACACCCAGGTAAGTCCGCACTACCCATACGGGGGACCAACACCCGAGGACCACACTTCTCTCATGGCGCAATGAACTTGAACACTGAACAAGAACCCTGCGGCTGCTTTACCCTTCCATGCTTCTCCTCGCCCAACGGCCAGCAACCTGTCAGCATCCCGGTCGAGCCTTGAGCCGTGGCTGTGAACAGACATGATGAACTCCGAGACCACCAGTCAACCGGCAGCACTCTCCGTCCCAACGACAGCAAACACTGCACACCAAATGCAACAGTCGGACACAACGGCATGGAGAGACAACGCTGGGACGCCAGGTGCTGGCATAGTGTCCTTCAGTTCACAGCGCGCAAACCCGCAAAGACGTCACTCCCCAGCATGTGCTGGTTACTCTGCACCAAGTCAACATACGCCTCCAGCGTCTGCTGCACCGTCTGTTCCAGCTGCCGCAGCGCCAGCTTCTCAAACGGGCCTGTGCCTGCCCGACAGATCTCCAACCGGCGCCAGATTTGATTCAATCGACTTATGGCCTCGGCGAGCCTGCCATCGTTTGCACCCGCCATCAGGTCACCGACGACTAGAGCCCCCTTCATGGTGCGCAGAGCCTCGATGATCTTCTTCATCTGCTCGATGTCGTGTGTCAAACTGGCTTGGTCCTGGCTCAGCCGTCTCTCCTCCTGGACGACCGCAGCGGCAAGGGCAGAGAGCACTGGCTTGGCCTCGTCGACAACCCATTCGAGGACATCGGCTGCGTGATTGCGTTGGGTCCGATACCAGTCCAGGTTCTCTCGAACCAATGTCGCCGTCAGTTGCAACAGTCTGGTCACGTCCGCAACCCGGTGACTGGCAAGTTTATCAGATGTCTCGTTTCCCGCCTCGGTGAAACTCGGACTGACAACCTCTGGGTCGACGTCAGCGCGGTGAGTGACCCGCACAACAGTACCTGGAAATGCTGAAACGAGCGACGACTGCTGCGACCATGCCCAGAAAAGGCCCCTCCAGTACCCAATCTCCAATCTCGCGGGCATCCGCGTATTGGTTACCACAAAAACGGAAAACACCAAGACAAATACCCCACAGCTGTTAGCGTCGGGCTGCTGAGGGCACTTCAGCCGTTCGAGCCGCACGTCGGTCCCCTTGGGGACCAGCCGCTGGACGGTCTGCTCGACGCTCTGCGCGATGTCCTGCGACCCGGATGTCCTCGACATCGAGTCATAGAGGCGTAGGTTCATAACGGCTCCGGTGCTCCCTTCAACTTCTGTGGGCTCCCAAACGGGTTCCAGCTCTACAAGCACCCAGTGGCTTTTTGGGTTCATGGCGGCGAGGAACCTGGTCACGCCGACGGACTGACCGCGGGAGATGGCCTTGGCAAAGTCTTCGGCTGAGCGGTCGTTGAGGTCTGTGTTGGAGGGGAGGTCGATCGGCGCGTGTGTCTGGGTCATGGACGTGATCGTGGTAAGAAAATGTGACATCACTGCGCCGTTAAGCCATTGACGTGGTGCATTCAAGATTGCGATCATGCTGGCAGCAGCTTGTCCTTGGCCATGCACGTCATCGACAATCACGGGGCTGGGCGCCGGTTGTGCTGGGACAGGGGCAATGTCGCCAGTTGTGGCTTCGACAACCACAGAGCTGGGCTCTGGTTGTGTCGGGACAGGAGCATCAACGCCGGTTCTGACTTCAGCAGGGTTTGCATCCTTGCTGCCCGGCGGTTGGTCACCCGGCAGTCGACCAACGTCAGGCTCATCCATCGGAGGTGTCTCCCATTGGCCGTAGAAGGCATCCTCGTCATTGGCGGAATACAAGAGCGGCTTCGATGTCGGAGAAGGGAAGCTGTCGTCAACTCTGCGTTGCTCTGAAAGGTCTAGTGTCTCCTCTCGACCGAGGAAAGCATCCTCGTCCTGCGGAGAATGCTGAACCTTCTTCGATGTCGGAGAGGCAAAGCTGGCGTCGGCTTTGCGCTTCGTTCCAACGTCAAGAAAGCTCGACTGCTCTAGCTCGGTCATCGGCGTGTCGGCAAAGCGCTGGGTGAGGTCACTGACTGCACCAGTCCAAGATAGGTTCGTCGTGGTGTTTGCGTTCGGACCGTCTGTGGTACTAAATGAAGCAAAGGTCTCGGTGATGCTTGGGCGAGGTGTGAGCGGTCCTGCCACAGGGGAAAGCGGCGCCTGCTTCTGGCCGTCGGGTGTCAGTCCTCCTCCCACAGATTGAAGCAGTGCGTCCTGGTGGCGGTCGGGTGTGACAGTGTTGCTGGTGAGGTCTTGAGGGTTCTGAGTCGGTACTTGAGGGTTCTGTGCCGAAGATTGGACAAGATGAGCAGGCCGTTCGACTGTATCAAGAACTCGTGTAGGCCGGGCCGGGGATTTCTTCCGCAGAGCACTTTTGCCGGTCAGAGTTGAGACCACATCACCCGCAGCAAATATTGTCGAGGTGTCCTCATCAGTCGATGTTATGTCGTGCTCCTTGGGTCGAAGGCTGGGAAGTTGGTCGTCCTGTGCTGGTGGGTGCATCGCTTCCCGCTGTCCGGTCGGAGAGGAGATCACATCACCCGCAGCATGGATTGTGGAAGTGTCCTCATCACCGGCCTCCTCTTCACCGGCGTCCTCTTCACCAGCGTCCTCTTCGCCGGCCTCCTCTTCACCGGCCTCCGAGCTGCCAGGCTCCGAGCTACCCGCCTCAGAGCTACCGTCCTCAGAGCTACCCGCCTCAGATCCTGCAGACTCCTCCTCTGCCTGCGACGATGTCCCGTCTTTCGACTTGCCCGTCAACCCAAAGTCCTTGGGTGATATGCGCAGCTTGGGCGTCCTCTCGAGATCCTGGAACGGCGTCCTAGCAAACACGCACCGCATACGGCCGTGCGGCGTGGCCAGGTCCAGACCCATCTTCTCGCCCCATCTCCGAACGACCTTGGGGTACTCGTGCTCGAGAAACTCCGCGGCAGGAGCATCTTCATCAAAGGACAGGAGACTGTAGATCTTTGTCCGTGACTCTCGTGTCGGGGTCCGTATGTCATCGGCGCCGAACCAGAGAGCGAGTAGTTGGGCATCTGGAAGCCCGAGTAGTGAGGTCAGTTGTGCGATGTTGCTCTTGCCCCTCTTGCCGTGGTACAGCTTGATCACAGCGTCGTGCCCGAACTCGGAATAGAGTGCCTCGATGATGATGTCGTCGTCGAGTCGCTCTCGGGCAAACAATGGGAAGTTGAGGGCGTCGGACTTCTTGCTGTACGCCGCGATGAGAGACCGCCACGCCTTCTTGAGCGCTGCGCCCGTGTGGAGATCGTCTCTGGCGCGGACGACAGCGTCTAATGCTGCCCTAATGTTGGCGTCGTAGTCGCCGTCGTCGTAGACGACGTCGTCGTCTCCTGAGGCTGCTTCGGCGGACATGACGTTCTGCTAAAGGCAACGAGTTAGCTGTCGGTGCTCAAGACTGCTGGAGAACAAGCGCCTGAGTGCCACTTCTCGGACGGAAAGTCCTTGAAGATGCTGACAGACGGTCGACCGGTGCTGAGGGTTGAATGTCCTCTGACAAGATGAAGATGAAGGAAGGCGCGCAACGTACCATGCCGGCCGTGAATCTCTTGACTGCTCCTCTCGTGTGTCTCCGTCCAGGCAAAGGCAGAGCGAAGTCTACGCTAGCTGATCGTGTGATGCGACGTCCAGGCGAAGCATCAGCTTCTTCAGTCGACCTGGAAGGTCGTGATGGTTGAGATCGGCTCATCAGTGAACCCATGCATTCTCGAGTGGTTCAACAGAGTCGAGCTGATCATTCGTGAGAGCCAGAGAGTGGTGCAGATGGAAGCCGACGAGAATCGATGAAGTGAGGTTGAGGGAGAAAGAATGGCTGCAGAAGAAGTCACGAAAGCTGATGAAGGATTGAATGACGGAGTGAAGTTGTTTGCAAGCTTCAAGTTGTTTGTGAGCTGGAAGCAATTGAGGTGGTAGGTGGGGCAATCTGCGTGAAATGGATGAGTCAGCTTCGGCAGGTGGGGGCTGACTCAGCAACCGCTGCACCTCACCATCAAGGCATCGAGACTGCGGGCAAGTGCGATTCCATATCTTGTTCTTGCTCTTACAGGAGTCAGATCAAATAAATCATATCAGAGGCGGTGCCCAAGTTGGATGCATTCAATCCAGACTCTTATCCGGTCTTTGGAACGTTTCCAGGTGTTGTTGCGCCAGTGACGGCATCCACAGCGAAAAGGCCGCACTTGGGGTTAGGGTTATGCACGCTCGACGTCAACCATGAGAAGACGATCTGCTATTCCAGACCACACAACCCTTCTCACTTGGGGAAAATCTAACATCATGTTCCTTTCCATGTGCCAGACCTGTGAAACGATTCTCGAGTATGAAAAAAGCTTCGTGGTGGTGCAACGGCAGTTGCAGCCGAAAGCCAGCAGATTAACTGCAGGCTTTTATATTGACACTGTACAGGAAGGAAGGTCCATCTCCGACCACATCACAACCACTACACCGGTATGGAAGCTCATCAAACGTAAGAGGCACCTGGGCAAAGTGTTAATCCATGTGTGGCTTTTTATTTCTGTTCCAAAGCTGGTCGT